TCCCCTCCCCCTCCTCCTCCAGAAGCCTGTGTCTTGCAGAAAATGGCTTGGTTGCACCCGCAATTCATTATGCTGAAGGAAACTGAGAAATATACTTTTTTTATGTTTTGCTGTTAGAGGCTGTTACAGTGTGATCACATTTCTGGAAGAGTTTTCTTTTTCTAATGATATCTGCATTCATCAGCACCACAGGCAGGTTACTTCTATGGACTCTCAAGGGATTGCTTGCTTGAAGATGAGGAAGATTTGAAGCACATGTTCCTAGGTTTTCCCCCAAACGCTTTTGGAACCTCCTTATTCAGGAGATCTTATTGCAGATCTGGGAAAGATACAAAGGTTCATCACAGACCTGGACTGTCAGAGCAGCCTTGTATTTAAGCACTAGCTTGGTAGGTGTAAAAGAATGAGTATTCTCCCAGAGAAAGAGCAGAGCATTCTGGTGTGTGTATCCAGGGTGGCTGGAAGCAATGGATAATGGTCTACAGATAACAGGAAACAACTGAAGACCTTCTGGCTAGAATTCCCAAGCTGCATGGCCCATTCTGGCATTTGCAGTCCCGGTATATCCAGAAAGTGAAAGCTTGGAGTAGGCGGTTGTAAGTAGGCTCAAATATGCCCAAGTGATCATGTGGCCAATCTGTAGCCATAAAGACTTCACCTCTGTGGAGCACTTGTGGCCCTATGAAACATGGTCATAACTGAGGAAGAGGAGAGAAGGATGGATTTTGCTTCTCAATCAATTTCCTTTCCAGAACTAGGTTGTTGGGGGCCATCCTCAGCATTTCCAAAATGTTCAGAGAGAGCCATTTTTCTATTGACGTTTAGGGAAATACATAGCTACTTATTGATGTTCTAATCTCCTTATCTAAGTGGCATCATAGAGGTGAACATCTGAGAAGCAAGGCAGATGTTTCAGAACAATTTGGGTCTGGTACAGAGATGCTCACTCGGCCCTTCCTGTTCTAGGAGAAAGGACAACATTTCCAGGATGAGAAATGTCTCTTCAGCTAGAGGA